TTTTTTTTTTGAGAAAATTGGCATCCGAGACTGAGCACTCTTGGCTCCTTTTTATCGTGTAAATCCTTTATATCTATTTCTAAGTTTAAATCTAGACTTTCAAATTAAAAATATAGATTTGAAAATTCTGATGCTTGTAATTTGACACGTCGTATAAAATGTTCCCTAGTTATGATGGTAGAATACAGTGCAGTGTTTTGCTAGATAATTGACATATTATTTTATAGATATTTTTTTAACACAATTATTGATGGATTATATAAGAAGAGATAGTTTTTTCTTTTCTCAAGTTCCTCTCATTTAATTCAAAACTCAACTTTGATATCTGTAATTTTTTTTTCTTAACTTTGATTATATAATGAAAAATAATTATCTTTCATCTCTTATCTTAATTCATCTATATGTCATGCAATTCAAATTTAAAATACTTTCATTTTAGTGGTTTGAGATTACTACTAAAAATATTATTTTACATATACTGACAACTCATCATCAATAGAAATTTTTATGGAGTACTTATTTTTAGTTGGATACCAGCCTAACAGTTCTTATACCTCGCCCTCATGCTTTTGAAATACGCTACATAACTTGAGCAACGCTGGGTGGGGGAATAACAGGGATTGAGAAATAAGGATTAGCCAACAGCATCGCTTCGTTTCCCCAGATTCGGTCATTGTAGCTATCACAGCAGAAATCATTGTAAAATGCTCTGGCCTTCCTCAGGATGTAGCTTATGGGAGATGTCAGGTACCGAATCCCTGAACGTGTAAGTTCCCTTGCCCAATTCTTGCGCTTTCCATGGAGCTTCAGCTTCTTGTCCCCACTGTCTCTGCTCTGCTCTTCTAATCGATTTTCCATCTTTCTACGAGCCCTTCGTTTCTGCTGGTTACACCCATTCCGTTGTCCACAGTGAGTTTTAGATGTTGCATGAGATGCTGGGGAACTGGCTGCTGCACTTTCTTGTGCTGTCGAGGAACGGTTATTACTTCCAACCTGATTCAACCCAGGAAGGATGACCAGCTGGGTAGGAATAGCCATGGAATAGAAAAAGGTAAGCACTTGCTGTTCTAGGAAAAGAATTTTTTATTACTACAAAGTACCTTATTAGATAAATGGCTTAATATATAGTAGGAGGGGAGAGCCGGGGAGGGACACGAAGGCCAAAAAAAATTGAACGTTTGTGATGCACCTAGACCATGTGAAATGTAGGGCCATATTTAGGTAGCAATTTGTGTTGTCAATTTTACTGTGACAAAAACTTTTAAAATATTTAAACAATGTTCACCTATTTTATTAAATTTATTTCTCTAATTTAATTAAGGGTTCGTCATCCTGAAAATTGACCTATACATAATTTGTTGGGCAAGTGTAATTGTAATAACCTTTTGGGGAACTATCACATTTGAAAGATAATTAATATAAGAAGTAGACCGCTAATAGGGTATCAGGGGATTTTGACCCGATTAATACCACCAATACTTCCAAACCGCCCCATCTTGTTTTTCTTACTGAACACTGTTTATCTCCAAGTGACTGAGACTACTCCTTTTAGGGTGTCTCAATGAAAACTATATTACAACAATTAGTGCAAGCGATTCTAGTACCATGCCTATCTGTGGTCGCATTCCCATTGCCCTTGAAATTAAGGTAGCTAGGAACAAGATATGAGTATGACAACCCTTTTTTAATGCCTTGATATTAAGAGGATAAATCTCTTGGATTAGTTGAAAAAATATTTGCAATTTGATGTAAGATTTTTTAATTTTAAGGTTTGGATTTCAAATTCTTAACAAACTAAGGTTACTATAATGATCATCTCTCGTTTAAATAAATTGACAAGTACTTGTGAGAGAAGAAACTTGAAGATGTAAGCAAAAATGGTAAATTGTATCTTAGGGGCATTTGCATATGTAAACCAGTTCATTAGGTTTTATTCCTGTTCATTAACTTGGGATAGAAGTTAGTAGAGATCCCATTCAAAGTGTCCAATAAGTTGCTTGGATATGATATACCTTGTTAAGGACAAAGATTCTTGAGGTTGGTCTCCTTCCTAACACCACCATGACCCCATCCATGCTAATTTGATGCACGTGAATCAAAAGCACCAAAATTTATGGGATTAGAAGTCCAAATAGTTCATCTGGATTAGCATAAAGCCACAAACTTTAGTATATTCTTCCATTCTCTGTTTACAGTATGGTATTAATTTATGAATTCTGTATATCTTCATTTACATTTGACCTGCAGTTATAAACCAAGTAGTAAATATTCTTCTCTTTCACCTTATGGTATACATATATTTGAATAGATGCAAAAAGAAATTATTTATATGGTGATGTTTAGAAGAGTTCTTTGTGGAATTCGAATCTTGTGGAGGTCTTGTGACTTATTTCATGGGATAACTTCTTCAACTCCATTGCCAGAACTGGCACTCCGCAGTAGAACACTCCAATTGTGGTGTTTGGATGCTTTGAAGCTATTTTTGTGAAGACTTTTTTCCAGTTTGGTCTTGCAAAGTGTGTTCTGACCTGCAAGAAATTGATGTTATTAGGTTATTGACCACTCAGGCACATTTTCCCTGTAGCCAAACGGAATTTTCTGTTAGGAGGGGAATCAGGAGCATACTCTGGTGTCTGATAGAATATCAAAACCATGCTTAGCATGGTTGAGAGCTTGTACCATGGTGATCAAGGTTGATCTTGCATCCCCCTCTTCGTAGACACTTGTAAGGTAGTTATGTAGCTCAATCTGACCCTGTTTCAAAGAACAAGATGAGACTGGAAAGTTTGAAGCATAAAAACTGATGTACAATTTACATATGGTGTTACCTTGTGATCCATTTCTGCAACTTCATCCATTACTCCTTTAAACCATTCAAAGGAGCCAGGTTCCCTGGTAACCCAGTAGAAATAAGCATTTTTAGTCCTGTGTACTTTTTTCTTTCCTGAAGGTGCCAAACTTGGAGCAGGAGTTAAACTAGACGATGTAAAACTATTCCAGCTTTCTTCTGACTTGGTAAGTTGGCTCATTTCAGTGACAGAATCCTATATACCACCATGTTGTGACAATCAATTAATGGATTCAAAATTAGTTCAATTTTGTGGAAACCGAACGGTAGAATGTAAGGCCTGAGTTGTACCGATTGATCTTCGACTGCTCTTGTATTGTTTAGAATATCTCTAAGGATGCTTATGAAAGGGGTAGCTCCAATTCCAAGTCCCACAAGGAGCAAGATGTCATAATTTCTGTAGTCTTGTGCTGGAGCCCCATATGGGCCATCAACAAGCAATCTTGGTTGGCTGCATTAGGGGAACATGTCAAAACTATACTTTCAATACTTAAGCCTATAACCAAAATAATAAGGTTTTTATTGGTATGCATTACCTTCTCTGATCTACGTGCCCTGGTTTACAAAATTTGGCCCGACCAATGACAGAGGGGGAGTCACTAACCTCTGTGAAAACTCGTTTCAGTTCTCGTGTCCAGTCTCCTACTGTGCGGATGTGAACGCTGAGATAGTCATCTTGTGGTGCTGAGCTAATAGAAAACGGATGCCTGGAATAAGACTTAAGAGTCTTAGTTAAAGTTCAGTTATAAAAATCATTTAAAAAGATTTCCATAGCAATAGTAATAATAATCTAATTAAATGAAGCTCACCATTCAAATGGAGAGATTGAGGGACACTGAAGATATATGTACTGTCCGCTTTTATATCTGAATTGTGGTGGCTTTGACATGATCAAGCTGAAGGCGTTTCCTGGCAGTAGAGATACCTGTGCAAATCAAGAAGACCTTGTGAAACTTGTAAACTCGAAAAAGAAAAGTAGTTCCATATTATTTTCCCGGATGAATGACATATAGAGAAATCAAGCATGTTTAGACTGCATATGGTATGGCATGGACCTTGTTAAAATGGTTACAGAGTTCCAATAATGTTCAGAAAAGAATTACCTTGAATATCTTTACTGAATAATGCTCTGATCTACATATTCTTATGCTGCGCTCAGCTATGTAAAGCAACAATGGTATGGAGATATACATCCATGTCTGCAACATCAATATAGCATCAGTACATTACCGATGCCAAAATTCTGTTATTCATACAAAATTATGATATCAGAATTCTCACCGTCTTCTGATTCCACTTCTGGGTCAAGAACAGGAATGTTCCGTGCACAAGTAGTAAAATATAGACCAGAGCAAAAAGATGATGAGAATACCAGAATGCATTGAATCCTGTCAATCTGTTGAAGGGTGCAGGAAGCCTCAGTTTATTTCGACGAAAACGGCTTGTTGCAAGTGTGAAGGCAATGGTCATCAAAATCACCATGCAAATACCAGTGACAACTACAACACAAGTAAAAAGTTCTTTATAGGTGGGCTTTTTGTCATGGAAATCGGAGGATATCAGGGCAAATTTTTCTGGAGAGGAGTGTATTAGGCGGGGGAAGTCACACGACAGATGGACTCCTGCATGAACTAAGACCCCAATGGCGATTGCACAAGCAATCATCTGTAAAGTTTGCAAGCAAAAACATTTAGCAGAAGCCAATGTTAGTAAGAATTCATTTAAATTGTAGCAGTCTCCCTCACCTTATGGAAGTTGATGTTGTCATCAAAAGGAACAAAGAACCTTGCTCTGGTGGACCGCAGCCATGTCAATGTGTTTCGACAAACAGGTAGCAGAATGAGAGCCATGTTGAGCTTGAGAGTTTCTGCAGCTCCTTTGGCAGTGCACAAGCAGTATCCCATGACATGAAAAGCCGCCATGCTTTTATACTGGTAGAATTTCCAAACAAATAGAGATGCCATGACCATGATCCAGAGCAACAAAATCCAACCCCTTCGCCAATTTTCCAGTACCATACACTGGAGAGTAGAGCTTGCTCTCCGGACCAAGTTTTTAGGTCTGAATGAGCTCAGGTTCTGACTCCATCCTGCACTTGCAGTGCTTAGTGGTCTGCTGTAGTTCATATAAGTTTCCCTTTGGAGAAAAAGAGTTTCCAACTGCCATAACTGAATGCCAAAAGAGACACTCAGTTCCATATCTATCTAATACAAATGGGTGTTCATCAAGGAACAAGGTAATAATACAAAAATGGGGTTTTACCTCTATATATCCAAGATTTTCAGAATCCATTTCTTCCATAATTAATGCAGCATATTTTTCTGCTTGTTCTTTCAGCTTGGGTAGCTTGTTTGCTGAAGCACTAAGCATTATAAGCTGTGTTTCAAAGATAGATGAAATAAATAATTAAGGCAGATATAAATCTATCACATATAGAAATTTTATGGCACAATTCAATCTCATTTTTAGTAAATCCATCAAATCTTTGTCATTTTGGTAATCAAATGCAGATTGGGAACAGAAGTCAGGTCATTTTGATGTCTGAATTAAGAAATCTGGAGAAGGTTCCTACCCTGATCAAAGCACATGGAAGGCAACATATGCAGTCATAAAATGTTGTTGTCCCAAAATTTAATTAAGAGCACTCAAATTTCACTCTACCAAATGTCTTTATAAAATTAAACATCTGATGTCCCATCTGCAGCCATTTTATTCTCTTAAATGATTGGATTACGTAAAAAATAAGTATTCATCTTTAAAACTAAGAAGTTTAAAAATTCAAAAAAGGAAGAAAAAGTAGGAGCCTTACCTCCTGCACTTCTTCTCTTGTAATTCTTCCATCTTCATTGCTATCAGCCCTGAAAAAAATCATTAATCTAAGTCACTCAATTAATTTAAAATTTGAAATTAAAAGTAAAAGCTTAAAATACCTTTTTTTTTAATATCTTATTTCTCAAAAGTAATAAAGAAAAAGATTCAACACTAAGTGGTTTAATAATCACTTTTCTTTGAATAAGTGTCAGTGCAATAATATTTTGAATTTCATACTCAAATATTTCCCATTTTAAAAAATTCTCTTTCTTCAACAAAGAAAAATAATAATAATAAAGAGAGAAAATTATTAACAAAACAAAAACATTTTTATATTATCTAGTTGTTGAGTGTGGGGTGAACACTTGAACAATTATTCCCATATTTAATAATTTTTATTTTATATTAAGATACATTTTAAATTGTAAATCAAAACTAGTAATGATTCATGAATCATTGAAGATAAAGTAATCCTTTTAGAAACATGGATTTATATGATTATGGATAAAGGTTCAAATCATTTAATTTTATTTAAAGACGAAAAAGTATATTAACAAAAAAAAAAAATGGCAAAAAGTATATAGAGCAATAAAAAAATTGCTCCGCGGCTTTGCGCTACCGCCAAACAGTAAAGCTGAGTAGCCATCCGATTTCGTAAAACAAGCAGCGGTCAAAGAATTCGTCGGCAAAGTCAACGGCATCAACGGAGAGGACTAACATGTCAAAGAAAATCTGAAGGCGCGCGTCAAAACTCTGGTCGGAAATCTGCAACCAGAAATCGTGAAGCTCTTCTTTCGTTATTCTTGTAATCTTTTGTCTCCTCCTCCTCGCTAGTGCGTCGAATATTCCGACGGCGAACTCCTTCGAATCCACCATCCCTGTAAATTTAAAATCAAAATATGTAAAATTTGGAATTATTTTTCTTCTTTCATTTTCGTGGTTGCCGAACGGAGTGTAGGTTGCCGCACCGATGCATTCGCCGAAATCTTCTCTCGCAAGCATTCCGTCCTTGGCCAGAGAGTGGAACCTTGACTCTACTTTTCTCCAGAGATCATCGGCGTCGTTAGTGATGGTCGTCTTGCTTATGAATCTGAGCCCGCTGAGCGCTCTCTGCGCGCTTGATGTCGTCCGTTGAAGCTTGGCCTTGATTTGCCTCGCTTCGCGAGCGGTCATTGGACGTTCCTCGACTTCCGATGCAGATGTTCTCGACGATCCCGATCGTAGCCACGGGAATTTCTGTCGGATTCTCGATGTCACCGACTGGCTTCTTTCAAATATAGGGGTGGCAGGGGTGGTGTTGTTTTCGTCTCGCGCAGGGGTGGGTGCTATGCTGCAGACGACTATAGAGTCGTTGTCGAGCTCAAGCGTGACCTCGACGAGGTCCTCTTCGTTGTTTCTTCTCAAGTCGTTGAGAAAAATCGGCAACATTGCTCCGCCAACACCGTAGTCTTCTCTCGCATCCTCATGGTCCTCCGGTAAGTCCAACGTCCGACTGTAGTTGGAGCTGCATCTTCCGCAGGACGACGAGGACTTCATTCTCAGGTGCGTCCTAATTAATCGATCCCCCCTCTCTCTCCCTCCTCAGAAATAGGACTGTTCTTGGTGTTTACTTTGTGTTTGTTAATATTCCTCTGTGAAGAAAATGCATGCAGACAGACGTGCGCTCGCAGGCTCTCGCGTTTGGGATGTAACCAATGATCGATGGTTATAGATACTGAAAAACAAGAAAAAAAAAATAAAAAAACAAGACAGGCATCTCTCAACTGATCTCTGTCCACAATTTCAACGCTTTGTGCTCAGTCATGCCTGTTTAGAGTAGTTGAGATGTTACAAATAAATTCCCCATTCCTGAAAAATCAAGAATCTTTTACACAATAAACTTATTTTGCATATAAAAGAACGGAGACAAAGGTATTTATACGAGGGAATCAAAGTGAAGGTATGAGTTTTTGTTGTGCCAAATGGGTTATATATTCTCATGCTTTACCATGGCAATTAATGTTGTTGTGTTGCAGCAATTTTTAAGTTTCTTGCATTGCACTATTTCTATTTTTTTTGCTTGTTACCATCCATTGTACTATGACTTTTGCTGCTGATTTATCCGTACATATTTTGCTAACCTTTTTTTGTCCAATGATGGTGGGAGTGGGTTGGGGAGTCCTAATTGTTTGATAGGTTGCATTTCAAGGATTTGAATTAATCATGCATCATATTTTCATTTAACAAAATTAATTGGAATTATTAAGGGCTCTTTTGTATTGTTTGTGTCTTGAATATGATATGTGTCATGTGTGAAAGCACACACTGTCAAAAGTTTATTACTGGTAATTGAAAATCTGGTTTCAGATTTGATGCTAGAACTTTTAGTCACTACATCTTTTGCTTTTATGCAATAAACTGTACAGCTGTTCAATAAGAATATAGCATCATGCCTCCCAGCGCACGCCCCTTTCCAACCCATTGTCAAGGTAATACCCTCCATGGATGGTTTCATAAATTAAGTTTTTCTGTGTGGATAAGTGTTCAAAAAACTATCGTTCCATTTATTTAGTTCTTCATTTGTCACATGAAAAATGTAGCATTGTCTAGAAAAAGCTGTGGAATATTAGGTGTAAGCCTCAAGTTATGTAGATTTAATCGGGGCGTGGCTTACAAGTTTTGAATTTTTTGTTTGGATGAGATGTGATAGGATGCTCCCTTCTAGAATGTTTTATGAACATATGTGCAGTACTGCATTCTGTTTTTAAAGATTGCCAATCTTACTTTTGTACTTCATGGATTTCAGGTCAAAGGTGAATAAGTCAGTGCAGCCATGATCAATTTCACCTACTTTGCCTTCTTTTACGGTAAGATACTTCTCCCAGTGGTTGTATTTCATTAATTTGTTTCTAATCCACTATTATATTATACATGCATCTGAAAGTAAGATTTTGAATTTGATCTGAAGTAAATACTCAAAGTAATTTCATTTTCATTCCTAATGTGATAGACAACAATGCATTAAAAGGATTGGGAAGGTAGGAAGTTGAAAGTAAAATTCGATGTTGTCAACGTTGTTGTATGGGCATGGGCATGGACATGGACAAGGCAGTCTGATAAAACATATAAATGTTTAAAAATTATCCGTAGGTGAGGACTCAAATTTGGAGCAATGCTTTGCATTTTGATATTGAGTAGTAGTTGAGATGTAGGAGTCACTGTTTTCAACTTTAGTGGGCATTAATTCATGCTTAGGAAAAAAAAAAACATTTCATTAAAAACCACCAAAAAAGAAAAAAAAAAATTGATTGGCCTGCCCTACATTATTCATTCTGGATTTTTGATTGCGTAATATGAAACTTCTTAGCCTTCTCCATGGGTTTCTATCTATCCTGTCTCATGATTATCCCCATGATTAATAGGATTCTCTGTGTTCTCTACCCCCTCCCTCTCCAACAACGTTTTTGAAGAGCCTCTGTTCACACGGCCAACTCCTTTTCTTTTGAATTAATAATATGATAATGGTTTAATTTAGTAGTATGGAATCTGATTGAGAACAACGTAGATTAAATTATGAAGACTTATGAGTTGGCGTTCATGAATTGTGTAAAATTAAAAAGATGAGAATCATGCATTGATTGTTGAAAGTTGAATGTTGCTCCATTAAAAAGAAAACAAATGTTGATGCTACAGTTGAGATATTCTTTTTTTTAGTTGTCATTAGCAAGAAAATTAATGCATTCCTAAGCTTTAAATAATATGATGCCGTGCAATCATACAATTACCTTAGGAACCCTAAGGATTAAATTTATCAGTGAATAAGTATTGTTTTGTGTGTTAGATTTAAGGTTCAAATTTTAAAATTAATTTTCTTAAATGAACCAAATCAATGTAGGGGATGTGCCTTAAGATCATTGTTCATAAATGAATTGGTTTTAAAGTATCTGAAAATTAACTTAAAGATATTTGATTATAAATATCAATAAAAACAATACAACTGCCTCACGTAGCCTTCTAAGAAGAACGAGCGGCCTGGTTTGCTTTTACTATTATCTAATTTTATAAGTAGCAATCACATTGAGCATTGTAGCTTCTCATACTAAAAATGTGTGAATATTGGTTCTAAATTTGTGTTGCCTTTTTTTGATTTGTAATTTAATTTTCCTTAGAGATTTCCACCAAATGTTATATGAAAGCCACTGCTAACCAGCACTTTTCGTTTTATATGCACTTTTAGTTGAGAGTTAAAACTCAACTATCTCATTTTGACTTGGAAGAAGTCTCTGTTCATGAAAGAAAAAATGAAAACAAACAGATCAATTCAGACCACAGAAGAGGAATCAGCATCTGTTGGTAAGTTCTTCTCCACTTTTGTTTCGTTTTGCTCTCATATTTTGCTTTAATTGTTGGTTTTAGGGCAAAAAACACACTGCTGTAGAAAATTTGTTTTAGTTTCTGATTGTCTTTGTTCTAGTTTCTGATTGTCCGTTTTGAAAGGAAACCAACACAAAACTTGTAATTTGGATGCTGTAATAGTGCATGAGACTGCATTTTTCATTTTCATTCTCTCTAGTCTACCAACTAATTCCCCTTAAGTTTTGTACTAGATTGTACTGAGCTTGTACTGTTCATTGATAAGAAGGTTTCTTAAGGAGTAATCTGCTGATTTTTAGGTGAACCTCACCATCCATCGGATGGCTTGGGCTTAAGATGGTGATGCTTTTTGGAGGACAAATTCCAGCCCAGTTATTACGTTACGACAACGCAAGTTTGCCCAGGAGTCGGGAGGCTGTAGCCACAGCCTCTATTGGCCATTTGGCCTACCCTTCATTTTCAAGTAATTGTTCTATTCCCTGTACTTCTGAACTCTCCTAAATATTTGTTTCTATATTTCAATCGCAACCTGCCAGAAAATAAAGTAACAAAAAAATAGCTTGCATTACTCCAAAACCAAAGATTTAACCTTCTATATCCCATGTCTTTATCTATTTAAGGCCAAGGTAGATTTTGAGAATCATTAATTACCATGTTTCAAAATCAAATGGTAACTATCTAGAAAAGGCCTGCTGATAAATTAGATGGCAATATCAACACAAAAATTTGAACAATGATAATATGAAGTGAGAAGATCTAATGTTTCTGTCTACCCTGAACTAACATGTTTGACTAATGAGCATGCATATATTAAGCAAAATTTGGTCCACCAAAACAAGAAAAATTGTCAAGGGTCATGATAAAATTGGACTATTCTATACCATCCCTTTGACATCAACTGTTCAGTTTAATGTTATAAAGGGATTATTTGGAAATTACTTTGAATTAATTAATACATAAGCAATCATTCAGGGACAACGGATGCCTGTTGATCTGGTCTGATAAAATACAGAGGCAACAAAACTGGGTTGGCATATAATGCTCTTTGTATATGGGGGAACAATTCCTGGGGTTCTATTGGCCTAGTGTGGTTTTGGAACATACCCATCAACAGCAAAGTTTCGAGTGGCAGGGGGAATTGCTAAACGAATTCCATCGAGTTCAGGTTTTGCAATCACTTGACATCCCAATCGAGACCTGAAATTTGACAAGATAGGGCCTTTTAGATAACATTTCCTAGAAATTTGTCACAGGCTCACATCAGGTTCATGAAAAAGGAACCTACGTTTCTGTAAGCCCAAAAGCCAGATCCAACATGTCATTCTCCTCATCAGTTGGGTCCTCTAATTTGTTGTAGTACTCCATGTCCTACCATGGATGTCAGTAGTTAGTCACTCAAAAGTAGGTATCAGTTAAAATCCTAATAATTCAAAGAAAAGATTAGCATACCATCAATATTACATGACACGTTGAACAGGCAAGTGAACCTTCACATGCTCCTGAAACGAGAATACAATCAGACATTACATTTTGCACCTACCAGCCGATATGATTCTAAATTATCATTTTACTGGATCTAGCAAAACTTCTCAAGACAATTTTTAACACAAGATAAAGAGAAAGAAATCAGAAATCAGGAAAAGCCCCCCACTGGAAAAGTTGGACCCATAAGTGTTTCATACAAATAGAATGTGTCAGAGACAGATGCATTGTTAGAAAGCTATTAAATCAATCAGAAAACTAACCATTCTTCAAAAATCATCCACAAATGAGAAAGAACTGAATTAAAGGAAAGTTGAAAAATATTGGACTAAGGTCGAAGAATGAATCAAATCCTTGCCTTCAAGTTCTATATCATTTTCATGGGCAGCTTCCAACATTGACATTCCAATAGGCACCCTAATCTGTTTTTCTTCTCCATCCTTGTCAACAAAAGTCACAGATATCCTGCAAAATAAAGCTACTGCATGAGAAGAAACTTCGAGAAATATAAATTTCAAAATGTATGTTCAGACATTATGCACTTCAAGTTGGCTTCCAAGTTGTATATCTTCTGAAATGAACAAATGTCAAAAACTAGAATTACACACCTCCTATCAATTCACACTATAATATAACAACATTGTATGGAGAATGGAGATTGACAGAAGGTGGTATGGGCATCCTCAAAAACAACTTACGTTTCTTTCTGTTCATTCCCTCCCTCAGAAGCATTAGCTGAAGCTGTGGTACAAAAACCACAATTCATTTGAAATATGGCCTGAGAAGCCTTTGTTTCTGGTGGCAATATAAACTGCACACACAAACACAAAGTTAGAATGATGAGGGAAACAGTTATAATTAACTGAAATTGAAATTCATTAACGGGACTCAAAATTTCAGAAACTACTTAGAACACTGCCACACTAGCAGAAGCCATTAGTAAGCACACTAAGCATAAAAGCTATCCAAATCTCAGGCTGCCTATTTTTCCAGTCACTTTGAACATGAAGGCATAGCACATGCAAATCGAACAAAACTGCAAAGGAAATTATAAAATGAAATATAACTGACCCAGGAGCCCTTCAATTGATTGTAAGGCCATTGTATATATCTTGTTGTTGACAAAGATAGGTAACTCCCTGCCAAATAGGATCAATATTGGGAATTAAGAGAAACAAGCATAATTTCATTTCATACAAATAATGCATTCTTTGAACCTTTAGAATGTACTCATTGTCAGAGCCAAAAATAGACATGTTAAAAGAGAGAAATGAAACACCCCTATCCTAAAGAGTAAGATTTTATAAGTTTTTATCCGTAAATGTTAATTTCATTAAATTAAGAAGGTCAGGCAGAAAACCAGAATCTGGTTGTTTAGGTTGCATGGTAATTTCAGGCAACTTTCCCAGATTTGACTGGTTGGCTTTTGGCAAATTGCTGTTGAAAGATTATAAAAAAAATTATCAAATAGAAGATCTAAGTAAGTGGAACCCATTAAAAATCCACTAACTTTGTCTAGAAGTATATATGTAATTCAAAATAAGACTTAACTCATTTTTTTTGAATTCTAAATTTTCTGATACCAGATGGAGGAAAAACAGGGAAAGAAGGAGGTTCTGCAACCCAGAACCAGCAGCAAGTTTAAGAAGGCTTTGGGAGGAATTTTTGTTAACTTAAGGCTGCAGTAACATAAGCTCTTGTAATTGTTTAGCTTAGACAGTTTGATGGCAACCTTTGCATCACACAGCAAGTAGAGTTTAAAATGCAGATTTATTGACATGCAATGCTGTTGTGTGAATAAAAGAAAGGAATTTCCTCTGTTGATTGTTTCTTCTTGTCTGCACTTTCTAAAGTTTTATTGCAAGTTGATTTTCTAGTTGAAACTCTGCAAGTTGAAATTTATAGCAGCTTTGTTAGCTGTTTGGCTCTTTAATCTTACTTGTACAGGGGATGAACATTCAACTAGTATGAAATGCATATGCATTACATGAGATGAGAATGCATCATTTTACATGCTGTGTAGAATCTATGGTATGATACCTAAGCTAACGGGTAGGTAAGATATTCCTAAAGTCACCTGGAGTAAAGAATGATGATACTCCTACTAAAGTTACCTGGAGTAAAAGAATGATGATGCTCCTAACGTATTTGGAGTAAAGAAAGAAGATATCTAAAATGATACCTGAGCTACTAAGCTAGGTAAGAACTCCTAAAGAATTTTGAGTAAGGAAAGAAAGATATCTAGATCCACTGTGCAGTAGGAAGACCCATGGCTAGTCCACTGGTATGTGGGATGTACACGCACAAGGAAAAATCCATAGTTAAGAACATACATTCATGTGAATATTTTGACAAGCATAAAATTATCTTGCTGCTTTGTTTTTCTTATGAATCTTAACTGACAATTTTCATGGAGGGAAATCTCCTATTTAACTGTTCAGTGCTAGTGAACAGAACTTGATGCAATTGGCTCTGCTCAAGTAGGGCAGATTACGTTTCAGCTTAGCACCAAAAATTGGTTTGAATCGTTTGATTAATTTCTAAGTTGTGAAAGTTAAGTTAAATATTTTACTAGACTTACTGGGCTTTACAGCTTATGGAATTATTATTTCCATGTGGTGACAGGTAGAAATTAACTAGAGGCAGCATACACATTTTGGGAGCCTAGGAAGCATCTGTTAATCCAAGTGCAGGCCTAAAGCCAACCTTGGTAAGACAAATTTGAACTCTGCCCAAAACCTAGACTTGACTCGCTGTTTTGCTCTAAAAAGCTATGCACTATATGTAAAGGAAGCACCAAGTGCTGCTGTAAAGGAAACTACGAGTTTTTGCACTGTGCGGGTTGTACATAAAACTATGTTAGCATATAAATGATACAAGGACTGGACTCTTTCCTTTTGTTTATCAAAATCTAACTGTCCAAGTCCTATGTGTCTTCTACTTATATTTGTGTTTTTTTTTTTAAGCCCCAAACTTGTTTACGTTCTGCTATGGAAATTCCTATGATCAGCAGCTTCTTAATGTGGGGAAAAGTATTAATTTAATAAATTATGTGTTTCCAACTTAGCCCTAAAGAATTTACCTGTTCTGGGATGTAACAAGAAAACTGTTGCTTGATGCTAAAAATAAAATGCAAACGCTCACATTGCTGGTTTTTCATAACAAGAACCACATAAAATGAATCAGAACTTTTAAGTCAGAAACAAGAATGAATTAAAACTTGAAGACAGAAACATACTTCTGGAGAGCTCTTTAACAACTGAAGACCCAAATCTTGAAACCCTGGAAATTAACATTCTTGATGCAATTAAATAGCCCCTGTTTAAAGTAAAGGCAAATATTAATGGGTTCACTTCAAATCTTCTACAAGCAATTTAAATTGTCAAATGGGTACATTCCGAACCGTGTAAAATAATAAAATTTAAACCATTACAAAACCGATTTCTTCACCACCATAATAACAGCATCCTAAATACTAATTGCATTCAACCATTAATCTCAGAACAATCTCAATTTTAACATGGGTGCATTAAGATCAGAAGTGGGTTTTTTTTTTTTTTTTCCTTTCCTTTCCGGCGATTTTTTCCTGTCATCCAAACAATAGAACCTCAAAAAAAATATTTTTTTTTGCATATATAAACAACGAATACATACCTGAGCCGATTAATAGCTTCTCTTTCGTTCCAATATAAGTAACTTCCGATTCCGATTGTCCGAAACAGGGTCTTGAAGGTTGAAGGCAGCTGCTTCACGCTAGGCTTGCGCCGAAGAGAAGGCGTAGGGAGAGAATGGGCTCCAGAATCCAGACAATTCACATTTCACAGAATGCCTTCAAAAAAACGCACCGTTTGTTCCGCACAGAAAAGAAAAAAGAAGAAAACCAAAACAAGTTAGAATTGGAGATGCGGGGGATCGAACCCCGTGCCTCTCGCATGCAAAGCGAGCGCTCTACCATTTGAGCTACATCCCCACCTGTTATTAAAGGTGAAAGGAGAAAATGAAATATATATTTGATGATTTTTTCTTTTTTTGATAATTGACACTCATATATATATATATATATGAGGTTAGTATTTGTTTACCTTACTTTCAAATTTTTTTTAAAAAAAAGATAAAAATTACCTTAATGTATGCTTTAAAAATATGGTATTTTAGTTTTTTTTCAATAAAAATTTATTAAAATAACGTAATTTAAGATGATTTTCTTCATAATCTTTAGAATGTAAGGTTAATAGGCACTATTTTCTATATATATATATATTGATAATTGATACTGATTTTTTTTTTTATAATTGATATTGATGGATTTTTTTATAATTGATACTGATGATTTTTTTTTCTGATAATTGATATTGATATTTTTTTTTTGATAATTTGGGAGATCCAGGGCCCAAAATCTGGCCCACATAAATGATATTCGAAGTCCAATTTACGGAGAAGGTTCTAAGAAGCCCAAGAGTTTTAAGCCCATTTTCCCGTCACGGACACTCCTCTGGTCACCTTCTAAGTCTTAACCCTGATTTCATTTTCTCCTTTGCTGTGTTTAGGTTGCAGTGCAATCCCCTGAAACAGAATAACAAACCTTTCGGTGAACACCGTCTTTCTTTCATATTATCCCTCTTCTCTCCCAGTTGCGTAGCTCTTCCATCTCCTCTCAACATATCAACCAAACCCCAGCTCAAATTCATGGCTTCACTTTAATAGAAACCTCTCTCCTCCCCCCCAAGAAACCTAGGAAACCTCCCCAGATTCTGTTGCTTATGCATTCTTTAATGGACCTGAGGAGGCTTGCAATCACCAAACCCATCTATGTCTACACACCCATTACCCGCCCCTTGACCTGCGTGACATCCACTGCCCAACAGAGCCTCCAAACCCAACAAGACCTCCAGAAGCAGTCTCCGCAGCCGTCATTGAAGCAACCGGAGTTTTCTAATCAGAATTTGGTCAAGTTGGTATCTTCTATTCTCTCAAAACGATCTCTTGATTCTTCCAGCTGTAAAGAACTCTTACCTGGGTTGTCTCCTTATGAGTTTGATCGGCTGCTCTTGGATGCTCGATCCAATGTGAACCCCAAAACTGCTTTGAATTTCTTTTACTTTGCTTCGAAGTCGTTCAAGTTTCAGTTCACCGTTCGATCTTATTGCATTTTGATACGTTTGCTTCTTGTTTCGAATCTTTTAGCTCCTTCAAGGTTGCTTTTGATTCGTTTGATTGATGGGATGATGCCAGTTTTGTCTGTAAATAATCCTAGCGTCAGGCATTTGGAGATTGCTACGGTAATGGCAGATTTAAATACGGTTTTTGAGCCGGGTATTGGTGTTCAGGTAGCTGATTTGTTGGTACATGTTTATTGTAGCCAGTTTGTGAATTTGGGTTTGAGTCATGCTGTTGATGTGTTTTCGTTGCTGGGGAGAAAGGGTATCTTTCCTTCTTTGAAGACTTGCAACTTCTTGCTGAGTGCTTTAGTGAGGGCTAATGAATTGCAGAAGAGTTATGAAGTGTTTGAAATGATGTCTCATGGTGTCTCTCCCGATGTTTTCTTGTTTACTACTGCAATTAATGCATTCTGCAAGGGAGGAAGAATTGAGGATGCAATTCAGTTGTTTTCTAAGATGAAGAAATCAAATATAGCTCCAAATGTTGTTACTTACAACAATATCATTAATGGTTTATGCAGGAGTGGGAGTCTGGATGAGGCATTTCAGCTTAAAGAGAAGATGACAGAAGTGGGTGTGAAACCAACTGTTATAACATATAGTGTTCTTATAAATGGTTTGATAAAGTCGGATAGATTTGATGAAGTCAATTTTGTTTTGAAGGACATGTCTGATAGTGGGCTTGTTCCAAATGAGGTTATATATAATACATTAATTGATGGGTATTGTAAATTGGGAAACATTAGTGAGGCACTAAAGATTAGAAACGACATGTCATCCAAGGGGATAAGTCCCAATTCTGTGACATTTAATTCACTGATAATTGGCTTCTGTAGGAGTGGTCAAATGGAGCATGCTGAGCATTTGTTAAAGGAAACTCTATCAAGAGGATTATCTGTAAGTGAAGGTGTGTATGCATCAGTAATTCACTTGTTATGCAACGAGTCTAGATTTTACTCTGCACTATTTTTCACCAGGGAAATGCTGTTTAGAAAGTTGAGGCCTAGGGATGACTTGCTTACTAAGTTGTTTAGTGGACTTTGTAAGGATGGAAAGCATTTGGAGGCAACTGAGCTTTGGTTTAAGCTCTCAGGGAAAGGGTTTGCACCCAACACTGTGACCTCCAATGCATTAATTCATGGCTTGTGCGAAGCAGGTAACATGAAAGAGGCTGGTAGGATTCTAAAAGAGATGCTAGCAAGGGGCTTGGTATTGGATAGGATCTCATACAATGCACTGATTTGGGGATGTTGCAAAGAAGGAAAAGTTGAGGAAGGTTTTAAGCTCAAAGAGAAGATGATTAAGCAAGGAATTCATCCTGACATCTCTACTTACAATTTGCTACTACTTGGACTTTGTAATGTCAGTAAGGTGGAAGAAGCTGTTAAGCTTAGGGACGAATGCATGAGAAATGGTATTGTTTTAAATATTTATACATATGGAATCATGATTGATGGATACTGTAAAGCTGACAAGATCGAAGAGGCTCAGAATCTCTTTGATGAGTTGGTTAGTGAAAAAGTGGAGCTAAACGCTGTTGTCTATAATACAATGATCAGAGCTTACAGTAAAAATGGGAACATTATGGCAGCTTTTAAACTTCGTGATGACATGAGACGCAAGGGCATCCAACCAACAATTTCCACATATTCCTCTCTAATTCATGGCATGTGCAAAACTGGTCTTGTTGAGGATGCAAGAGAAGTTCTTGAGGAAATGAGAGCAGAGGGCTTGTTGCCAAATGCCATCTGTTATACAGCACTTATCGGTGGTTATTGTAGGTTAGGCCAGATGGACAGGGTTGGGAATATCTTGCGGGAAATGTCTTCAAATAATGTACAACCAAACAAAGTTACCTATACTATTATGATTGATGGGTTTTGTAAATTAGGTAATATAGAAGAAGCAACTAAGCTTCTAAATGAGATGAAAGAGAAAGGATTGGTCCCAGATGTTGTTACCTATAATGTCTTTACAAAATGGTTATGCAAGGAAGGGAGGGTGGAAGAAGCTTTTAAAGTATGGGATCATATGTCTGGTACAGGAATAAACTTAGATGAGATTACATATACCACATTGATTCATGGGTGGTCTCAGCCATCGGCAATCAAGAATGAAGAGTGAAAGGAGCTTTTGAAAGGTGGGTGCATAACTTCTTACAGATCTTTGCAGAAATTCATTTCATTAAAGTTTAATGTAAAGCCCTGTTTGGCAAGCTGGTTTAATGCGTTGATGATGTTTAGTTTGCATTATTTTTATCTTAGGAAGCTTATTGATGACTATTTGACCATGGGACGGCAGTTGTTCATTGTCTTCCCTTAAGACTTGATAGCGGTTGTTGAACCTCAAAGGTATGTTGCTTATTCTTAGGATGTACTACCTTTGTCTGCAGATTTCTGTCAATTCATTCTGGGAGATGTATTTTTATCAGTTAGAATTTTATGGGATTCCTATAATTTATCGAAGTATGTGCAACTTTGCTTTTGGCTTTGCAGGTAAGCTGTCCCTGGACAATGGACTGATACTGGCTTGTTATTGCGCCATTGTTCATGGACTAACTTTTAAGGTAATTCTCGTGATTATAGTTGCTTCTGTCAGATTTTTATTTGTCCTAATTCTGTATTTTGCAATTCGAGTTTCACTTGTGTGATTAAATGCTTGTGAATGGGGTCGGTCTTTTGAAAAGAAAATGTAGAAGAAGCTTGTTGAACTTGCAGTTGTAGGTACTGGCAATATTGCTAGAATCTGTTAGGCTTGTTACTTAATTTGTATGTGATATACTCCTCCTTAAAATTGCTATGGATTGTAAAGGAGCACGTTAATGCAAATCAGACACGGTTATTTCTAGTTACCAGTTATCATGTCTGCAATGTTTCTGGTTTAGCATAGGCTACGGACTGCGCTTTCTTGCCCTCTTGAAAATCTAGATTGATTGCTGGATTTCAAAGTTCGAATGCACATACATTTGACGTGGGGACCTTTTAGGTTCCTTGTTTATTGATTATTTGTGTTGTAGTTCTTGATATGTAGGTTTTTCTGGTTCATTCCACAAAGTTTCGAGTTTTACATACTAGCTGATGAATGTAATAAAAAAATGCTAAAATGGCTCTTTTGATTTTAGGATGATGTTTACTGTCGCCCCTTGCTAAAATCACAAGAACAATGGAAGAATGGTTAGTTCCATACCTCTTCCAACTGCAGCAAGAGATGGATAGTGCCAGATTCAAGCTTCAGTGCGTCATCAATTGCAGGAAATTTGTTGAGTATCCTGTCAAAAGGCAAGTTATCTAAGTTATGATATGATTATGGCCGAATCAACTTCTTCTTTAAATGATGATTCCTATAACTGTAATTGGGACGTGTTCGTTGCCAGTTTTCAGTTACCCCTTTTTTGATAACTTCAGGCTCGAGGTCGGGGATGAAAAGCTGAAACGCCATTTCAACAACATTTCATGGGTTTGCTTAATATTTTGAGGGTCGCGGCTCATCCACACTTGTTCATGGTGAAGCTACAAGGTCCATCAACTAATTTGCCGAAAATTTTGCTATTTCCATTGCATATGTGAATAAAATATACTAATAGCTGCTTGACGTAGCCTTTATAAATTTTGAATTTCAGGTTGTATAAAAATAAAATTAAAAGTATAAATTCTTGGGATATTGGTTGAAATGATTATATCACAACGTTTTTCAATATACCCATTCAGGCTGTGCATTTTCAATTTTTCATTATAAAAATTGTTAATTGAGAAAAAACCAGTTAGCTTCAACATTAATACTTGACAAAACCTTCCCAAAAAAAAAAAAGTGAGAAAGGATAATACATAAATGGGACTGCCTCAAGCCTAGCTACCCTCCTATATCCCCCGCCATTTTTGCCACCGCCTTAGCCACCACGATCCCATCCACGTTACCGTCTTCCACCTCCTCATCCACGTAATTAGGATCACCCTCATCAACTGAAGTCGGAACAGGGTCAAGCTCATTGTCCACCATGTTAGCAGGCACTGGCACTGGCACTGGCACTGGCGGAGCTAAAAGGGGGACCAAGTCCCCCTAAACTTTTAAAAGAAATTTAATTTAGTCCTTTATGTTTTATTTTTATCATTTTTGTCCTCACTTGTTTCATGCCATTTTCATCATTTTCTTGCATTCGTGTTGTTGAAGATTACTTTTAATGACAACGAGAAGGATAAAGAAAATAAATATAACATTAAATATTGAGAAAAATAAAAAATAATTAAATAAAAGTAATTTATTATTTAAAAAAATATTTGTCTACTAATATTTTTATTTTCTCTTTCTTTTTTCATAATATGCATTTTTTTATTTAACATATATTTAATTTTATCTTTTAGTTATAATGTTTATACTAAGTTATCAACTGCTATCAATTTATCATTAAAAACTAATAAATATTATTTAAAATATTTTTTTATCTTTTTAAATTGACATATAAATTTATTATTTTTAGTTGATATTTTAGTTGGCCCCCCTAAAAATATTTTTTTGGGCTCTGCCACTGTTAGCAGGGCCCTGCCAGGTGGACTTGCCACCACGACCTGCCTTGGGCAGAGACCGACCAGGCCCGATCCGGTTGGTTGGGTGTCGATCCAGGCGCTGTACCCCTTCCTTCTCCATTTTCTTCTCCACGTACCTGATGGTGTCTATGTTGTGAGAGTATACTTCTGTCTTCTCCACACTCTTCCCTCCTCGTCGCGACTCAACGTCTGGATGACCACCGGACGCTTCCTGTTGTCCCCGTTCTTGTCGTCAATTGGTTTCATGAATCATGATTGAGTGATGTCTGCCTAGACCTTGACATGGTACAATTATATAATTATATTTTTTTATTAATCTTTTAGTATTATGAAGTTATATTAAAATAAATAAAGTTATATTGAATTTTATAAAAGAAAATTTAACATTTATTTTTTATTTATAAAATTAAAATTTAAAATTTTATTTAAAAATAAATTTTTACATTTTAATTAACAATTTGTTGGTACACTAACATTAGGGGTGGGCAAAAATTGGTTTCGATTAAAATTAAAATTGATTTTAAAATAATAAAAAAAAATTTATTAATTTTGAGAACTGAAATTGAATTGAAATTCTTACAAATCGATTGATTCGGTTACCAATAAAATTGATTTGGTTTTGATTTTTGATAAATAAATATTAATTAATTATTTTTAATAATAAATTATATTTTATTACATATTTTATCATATTTTATTATATTTATCTTAATTTTAATTTTTAGAGAGCTTATTTTTATTTTTGATTTTTAAAAAATTTAACCAAAACCGAATCAAAATTTATCAGATTAATATCAAACTTAAAAAATCAAAATAAAAAATCAATAAAATCAAACCAAATTCATTTTTTTATTCGATTTTTGAATAATATTCAGTACGATTTCGAATGAATAACCCTAACTGACATAATACTATCAGTAGTACCAGCGTAGAAATCTGGAAAACAAGTGATGATGATGTGACGCGGATTCTGCCACGCAACCGTAAAGCATTTCCTTGTACCACATGTCATTATTTTTTTTTTTTTTTTTGCCCGGTACATGAGGTTTCACCTCGACTAATTCGGATTCGACCCGCGTCACGCACCTGAAAATGGTGGTTGAGTCTCCCAGCGGGGGCTGCTGCATACACAAGGACTCGAACTCGAAACCTCGCTTAAACTGAAACAAGCCGCTTACCACTTGATCCAATCTCTCGTTGATCCACATGTCATTATGTGTCACCTGAATAATATGACTATATAAAATTTTTAAAAAAAATGTTTTTGTTATTTAATTGTTATTTTATCATTGTAAAAGAATTTTTTATATTTTGACTTAGAGATATCATATTCAAATCTCACCTCTAATGTAAAAAAAAAAAAATACACACACACACAAGGCTGAAAGTGCATAATTGTGGTGCATGGATAGCCAGAAGCCTAGCTTCCTACAAGAACTGGAGGGCCATTTCTGCGGGTCCAGAATTAAGACAGGGCATATAAATGGTTGTCCTTGTATAACTACCTACGGGAGGAAAGTGACAATGTTGAAAAAAAAAGGTGGAAGATATATTCCACATTTTGGAACCGATTTTAACAAATTTAATTTACTAATGCATTTTCACTGGAATTACACAAAAAAAAGAAAAAAAAGAAGCATTATTACCGGTGGAGGCTGGAAAGACGAGTTTGTTGCTCTCTTGTATTAGCTGATCTTGTATTCTTATTCCTATTATTGAAAGAAATTTTAAGAAAAATATCTTACTATTTTATACCATATTATTCATTTACTTCTTTTATTTTAAAATAATTCTTATTTTTATTTTAAATTAATTATTATTTCTTAATTTTTAAGATCAATAAATATTTTTTTTTACTTTAATTGTATTATTATCTATTCACTTCTATTAATTATTTAATTACAAAAAAATCTCTTTTAATCTTTATTTATTTTTCAAAGACATTACAAATAAAAATAATGATAAATAAAACAAAAATTTAGAATTAAAATTTAAAATAAATGATAAGGTATAAGTTATATTATTTAAAATATTAAAAGGTAAATTTTTTATTATTTAATATTTATTTTTTACTTTTTTTAACTTATAATATATATTAATTAATTTAATAATATATTATACGTTACCTCATTAATTTTAATTTTTCGTCTTCTTTGTTATTAGCCTATAAATAAGTATAAATAGTTTTTAAATTTTAATTTAAAAAATAATTATTATTTTAAAATAAAAAACATTATATTATATTATATTATAATTAAAAAAAATTTATTTGTGCCGGGGAAGTCAAATCTATTACGTCACGTCATATAATATCATTATTTAGCCATCAAATTCTGTAACCTCGGTGGTTGCAGATGGTAACAGCTATTAATATTATTATTATTCCATTAGAATTTGGTTTTATGAAACAAGAATACATAACCATAGGAACGGTTTGTTTGGGCCAGTGAAAAAATTTTAATTTTTTTAAATAAAATTTTAATTTTGAGTTTGACAAATAAAAAAATAAACATTGAAAAATTTTTTCTCAAATGAAGTTCAACGTGACTTCATTTCAAATTACTCGAAATCTAATATAATTACTAAAAATGAAGAGGATAGTAAAAAAAAAGAAAAGAAAAAGACATAACCATGTGCAGATTTCATTTCGTATTATATGAACTCAGTTGCTTTGCCCGACATGTTCATGCCTCTCATCGTTTTGATGACTTAATATAAACAAACACTGCTGCTAATTAATTACTCCACTTTATTATCTGTCAATCCATGGTTGCTAATATACCATGTGCTGCGCAGCCACATCCCACATGATTCTTAAAAATATTTTTATTTTTATTAGTATAAATTTTATTTGTTTAATTTTTAAATTATATAATAAAAAATAACTTTTTTATATTTTTTACTCATTTTATTTGTATTTTTAAAAAAATATTATCACTTAATCACTTAAATTATTAGTGCAATATCAA